AGTGTCTGTGGAACACGTGGTTGACGTCGGAGGCGCCGATCCATCTCATCCCATATGTGCTCGATTGGTGAGAGATCATTGGAGCGAGCTGGTCAGGGGACATTCACGTTGGTTTATTGAAGATAATCCTGAACAAGTCGAGCAATATAAAGCCGGGCTTTGTCATGTTGAAAGGTAATGCCTGGGCCATGACGACGCAAAAACGGTAGAACAACAGGGCCGATGATCTCGTCGCGGTAGCGCTGTCCATTGAGATTTCCCTCTACCACTATCAAACGGGTCCTCTGTCTTGTGTAACCCCACCCCATACCATAACGCTGCCGCCCCTGAACCGATTTTCTTCCATGACACAATCATTGATTTAACGTTCACCTTGATGTCGGTACACTCGAATCCGTCAACGCCGTGGACTTGTCCTCACCGTCCAGCGTAGACGTTGTCTGCACCACTGTAGACGGACGTCTGGCGGTTTCCTGGCGACAATCCCTGCAATACTGAGGCGGCGACGTACGGTTTGTGAAGATATTCGTCGAAGGCCAGGGATGCTTCTTGCAGTCACTGTTGCTGGCTGGAATCGATTTCGTAGGTGTGTTGTTCGAATCCAGTTGTCTTATCGATTATTGGTCACGCGTGGCCTGCCACTTCGGGGATGGTCTCTGACTGTATTCGTCTGTTGCCAACGTTGCCATAAACACCAAAGGTGTTACTGTGGACGTTTAATTGTCTTGCAACATCACGTTGATCCTGCTTCAAGCATTCCATTTTCGGACAGGCGTGGCTTTTCGTAATGTTGAATAATTGCGTAGTTGTGTTGTTTTGTCTGAGTGGTTGTTGTCAGCACGATGCTAAACAATGCATATGGAATCCCGTTAACGCACATGTTTTTTTATACCCAGTCTTGGTTAGTGAAATGCATTGGGCTTGCATAAAAGTCAACTTTTGCATGGAATGCATGCCTTTCTGTAGCAGAATATATTTTTTATGTTTTGATTAAACTGAAACTGAAAGCAAATGCTCAGTTAATTACGTTGGGTAAAGATACATACGCAGCAGAAGTACATCAAACTTTGCATCCCCCTGGCGTTGTTGTTATATTTGTGGTTAATACATGAGGACAGAGACCCAGCTACAACGTTTGTAAAGCTAAGTTTGTGAACACTTGGATTCAATCAGCTGTGCATATAGACAATCCGGATTACCTGTTTAGAAATACTTCCATGGGTCTATTGCATATTTAATCCACATACCAGTGGTGAAGCTAATCCTTGCAGGTACCAATTCCTGGTCTACCATGTTAGTCCAAAAGGTCTACCTCGTCCTTTCTCGTCACTGGACAGACCCATGAACATCCGGGGTAGACCAGGTCTTACAGCACCCCATGCTTGCCGTAGAAGGAGACAATATGTCATGAAGCGACTAACGTGATCGGCTGGTCAGGGTCGCTGACTTGGATGTTATCGATGCTCATGGCAGGGAAATCAGAAATGGGCGTCACACATTGCAACCATGTGGAGAGTCAAACCCGCGCCTTTGTCGTGACGAGCAAACGCTTTAGCCACTAGGATACACTTGTACCCGTGAAAGGTGAAGCAGGGATGCGCGTCGTATTAATTTAGTCAGCTCATTTATTGTCACTCTATTAAAAGTACAATATCTAGGGAATACGACCACATTAACACGATACATATTTTAGCACAAGCACCGAATCAGAAACTGAAGATGAGGACATACGATGAAGAGCCTCTTGGTGAATACATTCATTCGAGTTATTGTATCACTGTTCTTCTTTATACGCTATTGTCTTGCAGTTAACCTTGTTATCCCGACGTCTGTAAGCCCCACATGTTACATGTAGTTTGAGACGAAAGTGCTTCATGATCGCACAAACTATGTTACATTTGTGTATTATATCCTTTAATCTCAAGCTATGCGTATTTAGAAATTGTGTGGCTTTCGCCTAAAACCTATTATTTAATATGTTATTATCGGGCTCAGGTAAAATACATGTAGCTACGGATAAGTGTTTGTTCTTCTTTGTGATTATAAGTAATGTACATTATAATTATTATGCCTACCAATTAATGTTGATCTCAGATTAAATAGCTAAGGATTGATATATGCTTTTCCTACTGTAGATATAATAAATAGCCGAGGACTGTTTCAATAACTTGTATTTATTATTTGCATTAATCGATGCTCATGGTGTCAATAACAAACAACAAACAAAACATGAGCTCACCTCAGTGAAGCCGAACTGAGGTCAAGTCATGGCTTGAAGCCCGCCTTGGTCTGCATGTCTTCTCCTCAGAGACCACTGGACCAGTGAAGCCGAACTTGGCATACTCCTTCCAACCAGTGATGTCGTCTCAATTCGCCCAAGATGTTCCAATCTGATGGGCAACCATATTGAAATACCCATTAATGGCTATAGCCTTGCCATTCACGAAGGCCTGGTATTATTACTATTTGATCGTGATTCCTAAACACATGCTCATGATATATTCGGAATCATAAATCGACTATGTTTTATGCAGATATTTCTATTGGATATGGGAAGGGTGTTGTGGCTCAAAAATCGAATGATATTGGCGTATGTGCTGCCCCAAAACCACACATTCCGCTATTTGACGTAGTATAAATTATGACATTGACTTTACACTTTTACCCCGTTCGTGAATACTTTTAAATTTGATTCTCCGAGTCTGTGATATTGCATGCATACAACTTTCCCGGAACACCTTATATGTTGTGAATTTTTGGTCAAATCTTTAGAATAAAGTGTTAAGAACTAGCGCTCAGTAATTTTGGAGGAAAAATTTAACTAGTGATGCTGACTACAAAAAAGTGTTCACTGGTTTCATCCCAATAGTCAGATTCCATGACCTGTGGCATTTTAGGCTTTCCTCTGAAGTAACTGTCCAGCGACTTAAAATCAGCATGAATCCTTATTTTATTCACCCACTAACCTTCTTAGCATCAGATACGAGTCAATTGTCATCTTTATCTGATTATCTACTGCTCTGATTTCAGGGAGCTTCAGAGATTGGACAGACCAACATACACTGATGTTGCATTGATCCGCTGGCTCCGGGTCTGCATTGAATATAGTTGACCAATTAGGGAATCCTTGACAGTGGACTATTAAATAACCATACAAAGTACTGTAATTATATACCTAGCCATTTACATATCTATAGCTAGTTACTTTTTCCAGCGGTTCTAAAAAAAACCATACTGTTCATTGTTAAAGTAAAACTTATATAGAAGGTGTTGTCTGCACAATGTTCTGAGTTAGGTTATAAAAGACGTGAAATAGCATTTCCATTATGGTTCAATAACTATCTGGCATTAAACTATTTCTATATTTACCACAGGAGTAAACTGCCATTCGAAGAAACCCTCTGAAGTGCAGCATTCAGATAAACACCAGTTTCTATTGCGTTGATGATACTTCCCAGTGTAATGTGGAAGTGACAAGGATAGATGGCGAAGATAGGTACGCATATGAGTGGGTAGTCTGGCGACGTTTACGCATCTGTAACAATCGAACAAAGCAGCCAGAAATTCGGACAACCCTTGCAGCAAAACATCAATGTCGACGTTTCGTTCTTCAGATATGAAGGGCACTCCTAATGACGTTCTTAGCGTTCCACGGCGTCAATGAGGCGGAAGTGTCGGGCCTGCATCAATGCACATGGTGGACACACTCGCCACTGACTGTGTGAACGTGCCGCAGAACCCCATCACGTGGTACATGACATATTTGCATATGGCATGAGCGCTCTTCACATGGACCACTGCTCGTTCCTTCAGATATTGTTCCCTACATGTGATATACATGTATGTTCCACCCACGCTAATATTATTGTGAGCGATTCTCTTTTATGTTTGAATGGCACAATGTCTTTTGCCTGTGAGTATGTGTTTGAAACTTTTGCATTGAAAATGCCGTAGGTGTAGCTTCATTCTGCTTCTTGGTGAAAGTGATTATTTAAATAGTTTGAATAGGTTGAATGGTCGAATTCAGGGATCAGTGGTGATTTATTATTGTTTGTCCTGCATATGTTACTTCACATAAATTGATGCAGTGTCATGACGACAGAGTAGCGACAAATGTTAAACTGTGTTGATGTAAATACAAGTGACTAAAGAAACCCATCACACGTTCATGATACGAATGTGACTTTATCACCAGCATGTCTTCGCGAAAAGGTGAGCGTATTCTGGCCCCTGGTGACACCCGTCACAAACACATGCGAAGGCAAGTCAATTGTTGTTCAGATGAACTAACACGAGAACGTCTGGTATAAGACAAAATAGTCAAAATATGTCTTTGAATGCTCCAAACATGATCAAATAACTTATGAGGAAAATTCTGATAATCATTTAGCTGATGGAATATTCTTCTTCACAAGGAGAAAGTTGACATCAGCTGAGTCTCGATGTATAAACAGATTAACATAAAAGTTTAAAGTAATTTAATATTTGAAAATAATTCCTTTTCTCACCCAAAAGGTTTTCTAAGTCAACGTAGCAGAACACAATACTCGCTTACCGGAACTGAATTCGGGTTTTATTTTACTGTCAGCCACTTAGTTTTAAAGTTTTAGATTTATCGATGAATCAAGTTGACATTCACGTGTCACGTTTTTTGTCAAACCTTTTGGACGTTGCCATGAAAACAGTCAACACACTCTGAGGAACGCCTGACGCAGTTCAGCTGCAGTTGTTGGCCTTGTTCTGACGTCATTCAGCCCTCTTTGAATCTCGTCCCACAGGTGCACAATGGGATTTAAATCGGGCATGAGGGCAGGCCATTGCATGGTTCTGATGCCATTCTGCTGGAGGAGGTTTCTTGTTGCTCTCGCAGTATCGGCCAGGGAGTTATCATGCTGAAACTCGTGGTTGCGGCGACGTGCCAAATGAGGTATGGCGTGTGGTCTCGAGACTTGATCAATGTACCGACCTGCTGTGACACCATTGCCTCTCCCTGGACCGATGTTCTGGAAGGCCACAGGCACTTTTGTTGTTCAGTATATATTGTACTGCCATGCGACGGTGACCTGTAAAGAAACCAGACAATCAAGGATGAGGATTGTTTTCAGCTTGGATGTAAATAATTGAAAATATGCCAAAAGTCGCCAGGCAACTGGATGCACTTGCTGGAGATGACATTCCGTCTCACATAAAGCTAAAGGGCAATTGATGAAATGCTAGGAATAGCCTTCAGAATATCAACTTTTTATCGACTACTTCTTTATTGTTTATAACGCCTATTTCAGGAGAACCAATTTTAGTTAACCACGTTTAGAACGAACACGCTTATAACGAACTGACGGATATAACAAACTTATCTTTGTTGTCCCGAACATTTGCTGTATGAGAGGTGTATATGCTTATAACGAACTACGGTTATAAGGAACTAAAATGAGTGGTCCTTTTGAGTTAGTTATTACCGTCGTTTGCTGTACTGGGAGATTTGGCTTGGATAGTCCTCTGTGTGTGTCCTCTGTCTTTTTTCATTCAGAACAATCCAACACTTAGGTATTATGTTTTCCTACTTGCACTCAATAATGTCTTAATTTCACTGGTTACGGCAGTGTCTCCTCTGTATGGCGAAGGCGTTCAGTTTAGCTCTAGAGGTGTCATATGTGCCTTGTGATACTTTGTGGTTCTATTTACATTTTGTGACATGTTTTCAACACAATCACATGAAATTACTAAACATGAATCGAATCGCTAAATCAGAAAATGCTCTTGGTTAGAGAGAGTGAATGAGTGAGTATGGTTTTATGCCACTTTTATTAATATCATTTATCGTTATCAGAGCCATCATTTCCACGTCGGACTTATATGAACACGTTTATGTGGCACAGCAAGGATGGACCTGCATACTTTCATATTACTCTCCACTCATCTGAGTCAAAGCTGTATGCTTAAAGAATTGGAACCGACGGGCTGCGGACATGCCAGGATTAAAAATGGAATATCTCATTTCAACATGCATACTCCATATTTGAAGAAGATAAATCGGGGTAAGAGCGTACCTTGTTAGTACTTTAGTATCTGCATAACGCGTACCATGTTAGTACTTGAGTGTCTGAATAACATTGATGGTGAGTTCATGAGTTGCGTTAATACAGCTTTCAGCAGATTTTTAGTATCAGATTAATGTGATTTAAGTCCAAACTGTCGTTGCTCTGATATATGTCAGAGTGGTCGCCATGAAAGCCAGTAGAATATATAGATTCAAGGTTAATAGTGATGAATTAGAACCTGCGGCAACGTCAAAGTGAGGCAACTCTGCACTGCATCAACCATGTTTAAGTGAGTCGAGTTTTAACCCAATTTACAATAGTTTATCAGTTGTGTTACATGAATACCGATGGTTTCATGTGGGAGATTAGACACAAAGATATTGTTTGTTTCTTATATTGAGTGAGAACAGATTCGGTAAGGCATATACAAGTACGTTTTCGGTAACAATCAAGTAGCCTGCCTACAAACTATTGGTAACCACTCACAACTGGAGTCTTGTGCTGTGACGTGTATGTCCTGGAGATGCAAGGTCTGTAGAATGACGGCAAACTATCGGCAATTGTCCTAGTTACTTATCATTACAGGACGTTGTTTGTTAGGCTCATCCCATACGTGTTCAGTCTGGCTCAAAGCTGGATTGAAATGCTCAGCATAGATCATTCTCTATATCACGACGCTTATGAATTCTCTGCGTGAATGTAGCTGTGCAGGGAATAGGTGCTATCTTGCTGAAAGGCGTATCATTAGTGAAGAGCACCGCATACCATTTTGATGCATTCTGATGTCCTGATGCTTGGACCACCCAACGGATATGTCTCGTCAGCTTATTTTGTCATTTCCAACAATCGTCATCGACTGATGTTGTCACCAGTTGTGATGTCGCATTGTCCACTGTCTGATTGGACACCAAAGAAAATTAAATTAGAAATGTTTACTTCTATAGCACTTTGGTGTATTCATATGGTTTAATTTGATGAAACTGTATATATTCATGTTCTTGTTTGATTCGACAGATCCGTGTAATCTGAAATGGGTGCAAGTATTACACACAGACCAAAACGGTGGTGTCATTTCAGGAAGGAAAAGAGACCTACAACAGAGCGTTCTCCATGGGCGAAGAATAAGATTTGTTTTGAATAATACATACCACAATACAGCTGAGTTCGATTCGTGCACAAAGGTCGATGCAGATGCTTGCTGTCAGTCTATGCCACATGTCTCTGTCTATAACGAAGATGACTTCGATCCATCCGGGTCCTGGTCGTTAATGATTGTGTGTTCCACAGGGCATATACAGATGAAAACCTATTTCGTTGGTGGCAAGGCTAAATCTGATAAAACCATAAAATCCGCAATAATTTGGTTTGCATTGCAAAAGGAAAAAACACAATATCCATCACCAGTTTATGCAAGTGGATACAAAGGAAATGTTTCTGTTAAGTACATAGACGCGCTTGCTACACATATTCTTCAAGGGTCTTCTGTTGCTATTTCCTGCATTAGTAACATATTTTATACTGCAAACTGCGAGGTGCTACCGAGAAAACATCCTAAATCAAGAGAAATCAGTTGCGAGGCTATTTGGGTCGTTGGTCAACATCAATACGGTAATCATAACATATTTATGAAAAATGCATACTGGTATTTTCTAATTCTAACGTCTTTAGATTCATTTTACCAAAGTAGATGGTATATTGGGAATAACAAGTTTAGGACCAGCAACCGTAGCCATTTTAAAATGAAATGGTTTGTCGATGATTGTTGGACCACGCTGCATGTCTCTGAGAGAAATGGATCTCTTAGTAACACATTGATGCATTTAAATTTCTTTGCTGACTGTGGACATTCTGTCAAAGTAAAATTTGATAACACAATAATGGAGGCAGAAGGTATCCGAATCTCAGGTGATCACCTGTCAGTGTTTTTGATATCATCCTTGTCCAAAAGAAATGCAGAGTACTTTAGAGAGGATCTAAACTGGGAGTTCAGGGTCGTGAGTACTACAGGAACTATTAGGACATATCGTCCTCTTGTGGGGGCATCGAACGTCACTCATAAGACAGCTACAATAGAGAGGAAGCCAATAACCTGGTTTGTGGATACAAAGAAGTGGGACCTTGTGTTGCACACTCTAAGGAATACTTCAGTTGTGAGCGGTTCGATCCTGGCAGTGAGATATGCCATAGCTCATGGTGCAGAAATCAGAATAGCTTTCCGATTTTCTAACGACTCCGGATTTCGCATCTATAAAGCACATAACATTCACCTTGGACCCGAGCATCACGTTACAGCACAGGTTGTACGTGCTCTGAAAGAATACGAAGTAGGGAATGAGAACTTTCGACTTGATGATAATCCATGTTGGTATTTCAAACTAATATCTACCAAAGGGTATGTTGTTAGCACTGAATGGACCCTGAAAGGTGTGATAAATCACGGTCAAAGGTCGGATAAAGCAGAGATAAAGTGGTTTGCAAACCTTTAAAAAAAGATGACTTACACTCCCTGTTATTCATGCGTATACTTCTATGTATTCTTAAATCAGTGTAGGACACTTCCATGTTCTGGTTGACAGCCTCTGCCAGGAGAACGGAACATCGATCGTTCTACCCCCTTGCTGTGTCATACCAAAAGATGGTACACTGTCTGCCATTAACGACTTAGACATGTTAATGGATGTATCATCAAATTGATATATTTGTAGCAAAGGTTTGACAAGTGAGGTCAAAATAAGATCAGCCACTGATGCCGCCGTCAAAAGGAGAAACTGATAAGTTACCTATTTGTTTGGGTGAAATTTATGCTGCTTTTTGCAGTATTCCAGTATTATCAAGACGGGAAACACCACGAAACGGTTCTTTATAATATGATGTATAGGGATGTCAAACTCAAGTCGCCTGTGTGACGAACATAGATAGCGAGACCTTAATTAGTGTAAGAAAGCTGCTCACAAGTAACTAACAGCAGTTTGTTAACGATACTGGAAGACTGTATTTTTTTATATGTCAAATTATAAAGGTGCGGAAAACTATCAGGCATGTGCAAATGACTGGCAATTAGCCTTTTTCTTTTATGACACGTGAGAATTTGAGAATTCTGACATGGATACATATATCGATATGGCTTCAATGTGAGAACATGGCAGATTGTTTTAACTTCAAGTGAGCATCTAAGACGTGGTCATGCTCATATACTAGGAAAAGGCTTAAAAAAAAAACAAAGTCGAATACGGCGCCTTATTTGCTTTAAAGAGTTGCTTAATCTTGTATGTTGTACCGTTTGTATGCATGTCTTTCAGTTTGTAATAAACTTATTGTTGTTCTAAACTTGTGTTTGCTGTTCCATATTTGTTTTTTTTGTAGAGTTAAGAGAATATGAGCTAAACTGATATATATATATGTTTTCTTCATTGGCAAGTCCATCTTGTATGGTCGACCCAAATGTAAAGGTAAAGTAAAGTGGAATCAGTCGTAAATGACGAGTAAAATCTTACATCACCCGGTTCAAATGACGTTAAACTTAACACTTCAAGACTTTTATTTGAAACGGTGGTCAAATGTCATTTGACTATATCATGATATGGCTGTCCCATTTTAAAAAATGAAATTAATAACATACTTCATCAGCGTTGGGAAACCTTTGCGAACGATTTCGAGGCATTTGCAACTGATATCTCTAAATGATTTAAGAGGAGAAAAAATTGGTGCGAAATCTGTATTTTACGATGATGTGGTTTGAACACATTCATATGTTGCATCTCATTCATATATTGCATTTTAAGGCATACGTTCCATACGTTCCTGTGGATATAAACACTGTAATGAAATGTGAAACATGATTGTACAGAAAGTGCGTATACCAGCTACATATGCTTTCCATGCCTGGTGGTGGGTGTGCATGTCAAGCCTGTTAGTGTTCGTGGATTAAACAGACCAATCATGAAGTCATGTCCAATCAAACTATCTGTCCAGCTTACGCCTGTGTTTAAGAAACGACAATAAGAGTATTATTTCGTCACAAAAGAGTGTGTTTTGAAATTCCTGAACATGTAAAATCTTTTGTTGGAAAGATAATTTACGGCAACATATATCTCTCGGTTTCACAGAGATAATCTAAACTGTAAGCCATGCATGAGGCAGCTTCCTAACTGGAAACTATGGGCCCCTAACATTTTACATTGGAATATCATTTCCGTTGGCATATCAAATGTCGACACGCTAATTCAGGTAACTTTACACTGTGTTCTCAACCTTCTTCAAATGCAAGTTAACGCAGAGAGACGAAGTCACTGCCCGGAGAGGTGAGACGGAGTGAGGGTGAGGGGTAGAGGTCACAGGGGAAGACGAAGCCACTGCCCCGAGAGGTGAGACGATTTGAGGGTGAGGGGTAGAGGTCAGAGGAGCAGTTAAAGTAACTGCCCGGAGAGGTGAGACGGGGTGAGGGTGAGGGGTAGAGGTCAGAGGAGCAGTTAAAGTCACTGCCCGGAGAGGTGAGACGGGGTGAGGATGAGGGGTAGAGGTCAGAGGAGCAGTTAAAGTCACTGCCCGGAGAGGAGAGACGGGATGAGGATGAGGGGTAGAGGTCAGAGGAGCAGTTAAAGTCACTGCCCGGAGAGGTGAGACGGGGTGAGGGTGAGGGGTAGAGGTCACAGTGGAAGACGAAGTCACTGCCCCGAGAGGTGAGACGGGGTGAGGGTGAGGGGTAGAGGTCACAGGGGAAGACGAAGTCACTGCCCCGAGAGGTGATACGGCGTGTGGGTGAGGGGAAGAGGTCACAGGGGAAGACGAAGTCACTGACCGGAGAGGTGAGACGGGGTGAGGGTGAGGGGTAGAGGTCACAGGGGAAGACGAAGTCACTGCCCCAAGAGGTGAGACGGGTTGTGGGTGAGGGGTAGAGGTCACAGGGGAAGACGAAGTCACTGCTCCGAGAGGTGAGACGGGGTGTGGGTGAGGGGTAGAGGTCACAGGGGAAGACGAAGTCACTCCCTGGAGAGGTGAGACGGGGTGTGGGTGAGGGGTAGAGGTCACAGGGGAAGACGAAGTCACTGCCCCAAGAGGTGAGACGGGGTGAGGGCGAGGGGTAGAGGTCACAGGGGAAGACGAAGTCACTCCCTGGAGAGGTGAGACGGGGTGTGGGTGAGGGGTAGAGGTCACAGGGGAAGACGAAGTCACTGACCGGAGAGGTGAGACGGGGTGAGGGTGAGGGGTAGAGGTCACAGGGGAAGACAAGGTCTAATCAACTAGCAGCCGAGTCCGAGTTGGTTGTTGACGTCAGGTTTGTAATGGCAAATCTAGTGATTGGAGTCCTTATACTCCAGAGGGCTGTGTTTTTACACACCCGTGGGTGAGAAACCCGTTTGAGATAACTGGTATCAAACAGATGCGTGAGATCGATTTCCAGGCCCGTGATTGGCTATTCCATGGTGATGACCTGAGGTCAGATTATGACGGAGTACTTTCCTGATTGTAAGTTATTGCCCGTGCTTCATTCGAATGTTATGTGGAATATTGCCGAGGGAAAGTGTAGCAAAGCAAACAAACATATCACCAAACATATATTGAGTTATTGCAAGTGTTTACTGTAGTGGGATGAAACTTGTTACATAACCTCTTGTGTCCTGATAGTGATACGGTTTTGAGTGACCTTCATTGTAGGTCAAGGCCACGTGAAAAAAAGGTAATTCGTAATTAGTTCAACATAAATGTTCAAAACACACAGTTGACATATAACTCTCCAAATTCAGTCCGTTGTAGGGTTGATGGGTTGTAGCAAAAGCTACATTTCTCCAACAAATTTGATCAATTAACATTCTTCTATTGACTTTTCATGTGTTCTTCTTATTAGTAAGTTACCAATAACCCCCAGTAAATAATACGAATACGAAATAAATGCCTCTTGGAAGTGGCAGAACTTGACCTACATACAAAGTCAACTCACAACTTTCAAAGGCTGCCAACCTTGTTGTTTACACTCTCCATGCCTCTGACGAAGCAACATGACAACCCCGATCTATGCTGTTGATCAACATTCACCTATGTAGATAAACTGTGGATGAGCCTGCTGGTACAACGTGATTGACAATAGAACTACACAGAGCATGACTGATCATGAACGATCAGGTTGCATTTTGGCATGAGGGTTTTAAAATCTATATCAACGAAATTCGACGCCAGTACGTGAATAAAATGTGACAGTTGTGGCCTGACATAGTGCTTCGTGTATATTTTCCGTAAGTGTGCGTGTTCTGAAAAGCTGGTGTGACCAAGTGCCTGTGCTGTGACTTCAGTGATGTTGGGACATTTGTGAGTGGCCTTTCAAAGGGGGGAGTGTTTACCGATGGTCTTTCAAATACTCTCTTGACAAATCGTGAAGGTGGTGGTTGAGTAAAGGAACATTGTACTATACGACGCTCTTGTAAAATAGACAGTGCCTTGTACCAGTGCACATGAGCAATCGGAACCGGAACCGGAACCGGATAAAATTATAAACACGCCAGTGTTTCAACCTGTTCAATACTTAATTAGTTATTGTCATTTCACGCTGATTCTCTCAAGTAAAGTGAGCAAACAAATAGAAATCGGTTCTTATTAAAAGTCGTAGCCAAACAAACCCACATCAAACGTACCGTATTTTCTCTATTCATACACTTGGTCGTCTATTAATTTCACGAAAGCTGTTGACCCAGCTTGTATTACAAACCTTTCTTGCATTTGAGACCCATCGTCTAATATATTGATAGGATATACAATTCTTTTGTTGATGGACAGCCTTTGTTTATTGGTCTATATGTAGGGTGTCGAGGTATTCATATACACGTTTTTGTGTGTAAAAAGGGCTTAATATGTTTTAAAGAGGTTTCTGTTGCAAAACGGAGACCTCTTTTTAACCAATCAGAATAAAGCATTCTTCAATGTCATGGCAGAATTACAAATAACCAAGCTTGAAATTGGCTGAACGTCAATGTCATTGAACCGGAAGTGCAAATATCTTCCTCACTAATAGATCTTCAGCAACCTATGCTTTCCGTAAAAGATGACTGGGCGAATAACGAGATCCTGTGGTCAGGCTCGCTGACTTGGTTGGTGTATGTCATCGTATCCCAATTACGTTGATCGATGTTCATGATGTAAATCACTCGATTATCTCGTACATACCCGATTATTAACAGACCGCCGCCATATAACTGGAATATTGCTGAGTGCGGTTTTAAAACAACAAACAAACAGTAATTACTTAATAATGTACTCAGACGCATTGGACTCTCTCTCTCTTAGAGCTGTACTGCCTTTGGCATGCGCTTCATTAATTAGAAAAACATATACCAGTAATTAGGCTGGAAGTGATGCCTTCAGGTTCCTGATAATGTTACCTGGAGGCAAACTTTCTGGTATGCCATCAAACTACAGGCAACTTCAGTCGGCATTCTCGGGCGAGCCACAATTGCAATGTCCTCTTCGTTAGACTGGGATCGGTGCCTCATGAATCTAGGTGCGACCGTTTGGGGAACATTCCTGGCAATTTCTCGCTCCCTCAGTTCACCGTTGACGACGAGTGCTGGGCAAGCAGGTCATTGCAGAAGCTCACTTGACTATATGTTAGGTGAGCTATAACATGGCTTCGCAAATTACCTTATAGCGATGATCGGAGTAGTCTGATATTAATAAATAAAAGACAGTAAAGTGCCAACATGGAAAAACATGAACTTTGATATTTCGAGATATAAATTCAATACACTGGTTTTCTTTTGTGTTCATTCTCTGTGAACATTGTCAAGACATTTGAAATCACTCATTGATTTATGAGCAGAAACATTCGGCGCAAAAGCTGTATTCCTCACAACAATGTTGTGATATATTCTTGAATGTTAGTCTGCATGATTGCCCACTTTAGGGTGAAATAAATATATGCACATAACAAATTCTAGCATCTCGATCATATGTTGCGCAATTAAAGCATGCATTCCTTGGAACATAAAAAACAGAATGATCTATAAGACATGATTTTTCAGAAGGTGCACCTGCCAATATTGAAAACGAGTTAGTAACATTTACAAAAAGCTCTGTCAAAATGTTTAATTTGCAGGAATTGGTATTCTATGCAAGATGTAAAAGTATTTGATCCATTTGCTTTGTTTCTACTTGCTCTCTTTCTGTTAATTAGTGTTCTGAAGATGACTGAATAACCAAATTGAGGGTGACATATTACCATGTACAGATGCATCCAGCAGAAGCAATCATGAACGGTGGAAATTCCAATATCAGAAAGTTCAAGACTTTCATCATGTGCTCTTACTGTGTGCTGTTTTCAGACAAGAAGCAGCAAAAACAGCTTAAGTAAAAACATGCTTCTATTCAAACCTATAACACAAACGCTTCCTGAAAACCTTCAACTCTAATGCTTTGACACACTTTAAAGACACGTCTTCAAAGCAGCTGTTATCAAAAGTCAAGTCATCACTCATGCGAAATGATGATATCTGTTCAATGACTAATTCCAGAAAAATATTCGGCAAGGCAAGATTTTTCTCCTAACCTAATAATGTCACCGTATACGGCAACTAAAGACACCATAAAGTTCAATATTAGGTGCGAACTCGTTAAAGAGGATTAAACACACAACTTGCAGGGTTGGATTTGTGATAATATGACTTTGTAATATACACAACAACAAAAGTTCCTGTGACTCCAATTTTTTAGTGTATTTTTCAAACAAGTAAAGTTTGGGTTTCAATATTGTAGCACATGTATGGAATCAAGTCACATAAACGCAACTGCTACAGAAAAGCATGCATTACATGCAAAAGTTGACTTTTATGCAAGCCCCATGCATTTCACTACCCAAGAATGTGTATAAAAACATGTGCGTTAACAGGATTCCATATGCATTGTTTAGCATCGTGCTGACAACAACCACTCAGGAAAACGACAAAATTACGCAATTATTTAACATTACGAAATGCCACGCCCTTCAGAAAATGAGCGTCTGAGAGCCTTTGGTATGCTTGAAGCAGGATCAGTCAACGTGATGTTGCAAGACACAAAAACACCATTTGGTGTTTATGGCAACGTTGGCAACAGTCGAATGCAGTCAGAGACCATCCTCGCAGTGGCAGGCCGTGCGTAACCAATTATCGACAAGACAACTGGATTCGAACAACACACCTACGAAATCGATTCCAGCCAGCAACAGTGACTGCAAGAAGCATCCCTGGCCTTCGACGAATATCTTCACAAACCGTACGCAAATATCACGCATTTTCGGAAATCAGAATGGCAAATTAAACAATTTGAACACTTACAGGCGTCTTTTATCTGTTGCAAACCAAAATTGTTTCAGATTTGGTAAAAAACGTAACTTTGCATTTAATCTTATTCAATGTCACAGGAACTTTTGTTGTTCAGTATTTATTGTACTGCCATGCAACGATGACCTGTTGAGAAACCAGACAATCAAGGATGAGGATTGTTTTCAACTTGGATGTAAATAATTGAAAAGATGCCAAAAGTCGCCAGGCAACTGGATGCACTTGCTGGAGATGGCATTCCGTCTCACATAAAGATAAAGGGCAATTGATGAAATTCTAGGAATAGCCTTCAGAATGTCCACTTTTTATCGCCTACTTCTTTATTGTTTATAACTCTATTTCAGGAGAACCAATTACGATTAACAACGTTTAGAAAGAACACGGTTATCACGAACTGACGGATATACCGAATTTATCTTTGTTGTCCCGAACATTTGCTGTATGAGAGGTTTTAATGCTTATAACGAACTACGGTTATAAGGAACTAAAATGAGTGGTCCCTTTGAGTTAGTTATTACCATCGTTTGCTGTACTGGGAGATTTGGCTTGGGTAGTCCTCTGTGTGTGTCCTCTGTCTTTTTTCATTCAGAACAATCCAACACTTTGGTATTATGTTTTCCTAATTGCACTCAATAATAATGTCTGAATTTCACACATGGCACTGGTTACGGCACTGTCTCCTCTGTATGGTGCAGGCGTTCAGTTTAGCTCTAGAGATGTCATATGTGTCTTGTGATACTTTGTGGTTCTCATTACATTTGTGATATGTTTTCAACACAACCACAAAAAATTACTAAAAGTGAATCGCTAAATCACAAAATCCTCTTGGTAAGAGTGAGTGAATGAGTGAGTACGGTTTAATACCG